TTTATGTTAGTATTTCTGAGGTTCATACTAGGTTTGTTACCACTGTGACATTTGTAACTGGAACAATTGGATTTCTCAGTGTATTCTGGTAAAGTAGTAACTGAAAATGTTGCCTCTTTGTAAAATTGCATGAAATGCTCATCTTCCTTTTTTTTATTCTGGTCATAAATTAACTATGATTATTTTTTAAATTATTTTTAACTATGGTAACTGGTATAGAAAATTGCTTCTAAGTGAAACACTTTTTGTGGCTTAGGAATAAGACAAATAGAACCAGGGGAGAACAGAATATCCTTTCAGTGCTGTATGAAAGCATTGTTAACAGGCCTATCAAGAATCCATTACTTAATTATTAAGAGTACCGTTGTTTCTCTGTTTACTGTTGATTAAAGGGCCCATGACCTCTTCCTCCAGTTTTTCTTGCTTCAAAGGACATAGCCCATTTTGTATCTAACCTGTTCTGATTATCCCTTTCAAGTTCCTGTAAGTGTCCAGTTCCTCACAATCCACCACGAATCAGATTTAGCATCTTGGGGCTGGGGCGATAGCACAGCAGCAGGGCGTTTGCCTTGCACGCAGCCAACATGGCCGACCCAAGTTTGATTCCTCCGCCCCTCTTGGAGAGCCCGGCAAGCTGCCAAGAGTATCTCGCCCGCACGGCAGAGCCTGGCAAGCCACCCGTGACGTATTCGATATGCCAAACACAGTAACGACAAAGTCTCCAATGGAGACGTTACTGGGCCCGCTGGAGCAAATCGATGATCAACGGGAGGGCCTTTACTTTACTTTTACTAGGAATTTCTCAATAAATCATTAGAATTTTAAATATTCTTACATTTTTTATATCTATGCTTTAATTTTTTGAAAATTATACATGTACTGGGAAGATTATTAAATAGAAGGAGGCTTTTCAGAGAGTTAAGAATTACAAGGTAGCAAAGAGACCAAGAAATGAAATGTTCTAACTTTATAGACGATTAAAGCTTACAGTAACAGGTTTTTTCTTTTGAACTGGCCTTTGCAATCATTCTTTTACTCACTGAAGAGCAAGACTTTTAGAATTTTACCCTACAGAAACAGTTCTAAACATAACTATAATCATAACTATAGTGATCTAAGTACAGTGTGTAAGAAAACCAGAAAGGAATGCTCATTCTAGAAGGATTCACTCCTGAGGAAAAAATAAGGGCTTTTCTCTTCCTGTATACAAGATGTTCAGTAGATAAAGACAAAGCTATTCTGGGATTTCAGAAGCATACACTTACATCAGAATAATTTGCTGATGATTTTGGATTTACAATATTTACAGTATTCAGATATTCATTTACAATACCTGAAACTTCCATTTCAAACATGGATTCTTTGTCATTATGATGATTCATCATTGCAACTTTGTCTTTCATGAAAATTACTTGGTCCAAGACCCCAGCAGGTGACAGATATATGAACAGGTTCATGCAGGTAGTTTTTAAGTTAGAGTATTTTTCCATAGTAATGAACACTACAAAATAAAAGAGCAAAAATGGGAAGGACATAAAATGGCAAGAAAAAATAATTTTAGCAGTTTAGAAATTTAATCACTTAATGATTAAATTTAGCAGTTCTAAATATGTGATATTTAGAAATATGAGCTATTTTTACCTGTGTAGTTAATGTGTTTATAATAAATCATTATTTAGGGAACACCCATCACTAACAGGAACATGTGTATATGTGTATGTATGTGATGGACACATAGAAATATTTTTAATAGTAATTTGTTAAAATAATCTGAATTCTAAGTAGAATGGTGTCTTCAAATCTGAGAATATGTTGCAGAGATTGACGTTTCAAAATTTTGTTCTACCATGGTAAATTTAGTCCTGGATAGGTTAAAGTCAAGGCAACACTAGTAAGTGACAGAACTTCTGAGAATGAGGCTTTTTGTCATTAAGGTCCTCTTTCCCATTTTATCTCCTCTATAATTCAGTAGGGGGAAAATAGTGAAAGTGAGAGTATTGCCTTAAGGCATATAATTGCATTATACCCATTTTTCTTTATTTTTCTTGGTTGCAGATTGATGATGACTTTACAGTTACATTGTAAATTGTAGGCATTTGTAAGCTAATTTGACTTAAAAATGATAATGTGTCCTGGGTTCGAGCTAAATTTCAGTACATTTTAAAGATTTCTTTGGATTTGAAAATAAAATTTCAAATTTATTACTACAGAATTTTCAGTAGTTCATTCTGCATTTAGTGATCACTCTTTATTTTTTTCTTTTTTTGCTTTTTGGGTCACACCTGGCAATGCAGAGGGGTTACTCCTGGCTCTGCACTCAGGAGTTACTCCTGGCGGTGCTCAGGGGACCATATGGGATGCTGGGAATCGAACCCGGGTCGGCTGCATGCAAAGCAAACGCCCTACCTGCTGTGCTATCTCTCCAGCCCCTCACTCTGTATTTTTTAAAAATTCTGTTTAATACCCATTGTTGAATCTTATTCTGATTTTAAATTTACATGAGAAGGAATTATAATCTTATTTGAGTATTCCTTAGTAAGTATAAACGTATGTCCTACTCAGATTAAATAAAGACTTTAGAATATAAAGTGTGGGTGATCAATGTTTTATATACAGCCTCCCTCCCCTTAAAAATCTTTTGGCTTTGAATAATACAGAACTAAAACTCCAAATCTCAAGTCCAGAATTTGATTTTTTTTCCCCCCAAAATGGGTAACACCTGTATATGTGTACATGTATTTAAATTTCACAAGTACCAGTTTTTAGTATTCCTGTTAATTTATAACAAGTTTTGCATCATCATGGTGCATTCATTAAATTCAGTTAATAATAGGAATGTTCACAAATCAGTACATCAAAAAGAATTCTATTTTTCTTTCGATTTTTTGGCCACACTAAGCTGGGTTCAGGACTTACTCCTAACTTTGTACTCTAGGATCAATCCTGGCAGGGCTCAGAGGACTGTGTGCAGTGCTAGATATAGGACCAGAGTTGGCTGTAAGCAAAGCCTCGCCCACTGTACTGTCTCTCTGACCCCCCACACCCAATCCCAAAACAATCTTGGATTGTGTGGTTCAACACATTTCCAAACATTTTTATTTTCACCCTTCCAGTGAAAAGGCAATAGTCCGACTTCACTGTGCTCAGAAAATGTGCTCCAACATCTTTCTTCTTCAGTTTAATTTTGGAAGTTTTAACAATTTTTGTAAGTCTTACTGCTTCAATTCATTAAGTTTGAAACTGTCCGAAAGGACAGCTGGAGATACAAGGTTACGCGTGGACTTTCCCCTCATTTTCTCCAACTAGTATTTTTAATTAGTTCTTTTCTAGACCACAGACAAACATTTCTACAGGTGATCTTATAAATATATTATTTTTTTGTACATTTTTAAAATGGACAAATCATTTCTAGGTATAGGATTAGGGCAATTTTATGGGTATTTACTAAACTGAAAAATTAGGGGCCACTACAGGTGGTTAAAAGGGAAATATTTTAGGCAGTGGAATAAAGTTTGGAAAGGAATTGAGGTCAGCAAAAGCAGAGTGGAGAGAATAGTCAGGAATTGCACTGGACTAGAGAATTAGAGCTTTGATGAGGAAGGTACTATCAAAAAATTTAAATGATAGGATAAGGCATTTTCACTTCTCTGGAACTAAAGGAAATCATCACATTCCTGCAGGCTCTGAGTGAGAGACATGAATTAAAAATTTTGCTTACAGGGATTGATAACAGTACTTATGATGGGTTGGATATGAAAGGAGACAATAATGGTGAAGGCCAAGTAGGAATATGGGATTTGTTTTGCATAATTCAGGCAAGAGTTTATTGGAAGTGATAGAACATATCTATACCTTTGGCAGAAATGGGTAACCTAAGAAAAATGTGTTCAAAAGTAAACATAAAAGGCACATTTTAAATTTAGTTATTGTATAACTCAGAAAAAGAATTAGTGCAAGTGTTTTAATGTTACATAACTAGTAGAAGTCGCTGGAAAATGATGAGGAAAAAAATGGCATGAAAACAAGTAGCATAGATTCTTATTTATGAACCCAATGCTGTATTTTCCAAGCTAGATTTGTAAAATCTGTTTAGAACTATTTCTGTTATTTTTTCTATTATATAGAGAATATTTCTATTATTTTTTTATTTACTTTTGATTATCTGGGAAGTTTGGTTATTCATATGGAACTAGAGGTGAAAAGCCAATAATTGTAAATTATCTTGAGATTTGAAGTATTGATAAATTTCAGTCATTGCAAGTATCTCTAAGGTACATGCATTATCATTCTTGATTGAAAAATCAAAACATTGATGGTGAATTACAGTTTCTGTTTCTTTGGCTGTTGCATTGGTATAACTCTGACAGAGTTGCTTTTTTTAAAAAAATGTAAACATAGAAAGATTGCATTCATCTGGGGAACATAAGGTAACAAAATAAGAGACTGACACCCAAGAATAGCCGAGATAAGTACCAGGAAGTTCACTCCATGGCTTGGAGGCCAGCCGCACATGCTAGGGGAAAAGGAAGTTCAGATAGAGAAGGGAGCACCAAATAAAGTGTGTTGGGAGGATCCTCCCAGGATGGGAGATGCATGCTGAAAGTAGACTATAGACCGAACATGATTGCCACTCAATGCCTCTTTTGCAAACTACAGCACCCAAAAGGAGAGAGAGAACAAAAGGGAATGCCCTGCCACAGAGGAAGGGTGGGATGAGGGGAAAAGGGGGTGGGAGGGATACTGGGATCAGTGGTGGTGGAGAATGGGCACTAGTGGAGGGATGGGTACTCGAACATTGTATAATTGAAACCCAAGCACAAAAATCTGTAAGTCTATAACTGTACCTCATGGTGTTTCACTAATAAAAATTAATTAAATAAATAAATAAGTATAAACAACATGAAAAGGAAACGGGATTGGTGCAAACAAGCTCTCTTATAATGCATAGTAAATATTTTAATTTCAGATTATGTACTCAGATTTTGTTTGCTCATCAACAGGGATCAGATCATAAAGCAGTCTACGGAATTAGTCTGCCGAGCCTATGATGAAGTGTATGCAGCTGTCATGAACCCAGCTAACGCATACAAAGACCCAGAGAACATTCTCCATCGATCACCTCAGCAGGTGCGGACGCTTCTCTCCTGATGGCCTCATCTGAGTATAAACAGAATGTGGCTTTTCTCAAGTACTGAAGGATTTTTGTTTGTGGGGGAGGGAAACGGTGGGGTAAGTCCATTAATCTTTACTTTGAAAATTTATGGCTATGATTTTTGTATCATAAGACTATATAGGTTTAATAATTTCTTTGATATAGTAATATGAAATTAATACTTGTTGAAGTCAAATTGTTTATATCTGTTATCTGAGTAGAGATGTTGTCACTTCTCCAACTCTGCAGTTCCCTTTTATTTTGAAATATAAAAGGTATGATAGAAAATTGAGTAAGAACTTTGTTTTTTGTTTTTTATTTGTTTTAACAAGAATAGACCTTATGTAACTATACTTTTAAAGTTTGTCTAAATTTAATAATGAATATTTGGATACAACTTAATAAATATGTCTTTACCTAAAAGTCCATTTGTCTTCAATTGTTATTAATGTGAGTGGGCACACTTAAATTGAGATCAGAAGTACACATCAGCAAAGATGGGGAAAGAGAAAGAAAGAGAATTTGAGTAGGATGAATACCATTCTGAGTTTGCCTAGGACTAAAATCCAGATGAAAAGTTGAGCATTTCAGATGTTTTTTTGGTTTTTAGAAGTCAATAATATTTCTGTAATCTAATGTTAAAAGATGGACATTATACCATTTAAAAAAAACCAACCTTTTCATTTGTCTAAAATGTATAATTCTTTATACTAATAATTCTTGTGGAGCAAAAGTGTTTTTATATCATCTATTTGGGTGTAAATCTTTATGTTTAGTTTTTTTCCTTCAACAAGTATATGTAATATAAAATGTAGAGAACAAGTCTGATATAAATCAAGCTTTTACATTTTATATAATTCTTAATATGAAAAAAGATCACAACCTTACAATTAGGAAATTCCTTTGTCATCTAGAAGAAAACTGTTGTGGTTTTTTACCTAGTCTCAGCTTGCTCAACTATTTCATGGTGGTATCATTGCTGTGTTTTTATATATATATATATGTATATATATAATTGTTTTAAAAATATACTATATGACACATATATTTGCTCTTTGCTTCATACTTTGCATTTGACCAGTGTTTCACAAATTAAACTTTAAATGTATAATTACAGTCTTCAAAGGACGTGAAATATTGCTTTGTACTACTCTCTCGTTTTTGGTTGATTCACCCCTACACTTTTCAGCGCAGCTTTCATAATTTGTTGAGAACTCGAAGCTGTTTTTTTTTCCCACAGTTTTATTTATTTATTTATTTATCCTTCTTCTTATATTTATTTATTGAATCACTGTGGGAAAAGTTACTAAGCTTTCAGGTTTAAGACTCGGTCATACAATGATCAAACATCTCTCCCTTCACCAGTACTCATTTTTCACCGTCAAGAACCCCCATACACCCGCCCTCCCACCCCTCCCAATGCCTGTGAGGCAGATGACTTCCACTTAACTCTTCTCTACATTGATTACATTCATTATTTTGACAAAAGATGCACCATTATTGTTTAGAATGTCCCACCCTACTCCTGAAAAGGCATTGTGAAATACTTTGTTTTCTATAGCTGGTATGAGAATCATATAGTGTCATATAATGATTTTGGATTTCTGCAAAGAGCCTGATAATTACGAGATTGGTTTCTGTGCGTCTGGTGTTATGGCTGTGCTGGAGAGCCGCTCGTAGGGGGCAACTCGTGACCTTGGTAGGGCGTGAAGGACAAGCTGGTACCGCTCCCCTTCCCATCAGACTGCTGTTGCCCCGTCACCTCCAGCTCATACCTGGCTTTCCTATAAGCTCTGAGGCGGCGGCCACCTTGCTGCCGGGGGGGGGGGGGGGGGGGGGGGGGGGGGGGGGAGGTGGGAGGGAGCAACACCCTTTCCCTCCCAGGGAGGATTGGCACCATAGTTTAACGCATGGTCCATTCACTTTTCTGCTGCAAGCTGCCGGGCCCTGGATTCCTGGATTAAGTCCTTTTGCCTCTGGAGCCATGGCCGTGCAGGAGAGCCGCTTGTGGCCGGGGGGGGGGGGGGGGGGGGGGGGCCACTCGTGACCTCTGTAGGGTGTGGAGGACAAGCCGGTAGAGAACTCCAAGCTGTTTGACGATCTTTCTTCACCTTCTTAGATATGCAGTCACACTCCACCTGTACTAGAGATAGCATCCTTCCTGCTGCCCGCTGTTCACTTCTTTTCACTCCTTAGTCCTAGGACCCCCTTTTCCTCTTCCCCAGAGGCTGTCTGTTACTAAAATTAAGGCTTTCCTGACTACTACTAACTCATGTCTTTGGATATGTCCATAAAAATGGAATGGTGGAGTTTTCTTTTTTCAAATACATAGTTGAACAAACTGTGATTCCATTCATCATTTTAAAAATAAAACATAAAATAATGGCATCTATTTTATGGGTACTTACATGGTAAAGCTATTAGGAAAATATAGCAAATAATTGACACAATTCAAGATGGTCTCTGGAGACCAAAACACAAAGTTTGTTCAAGTTACTGGTAATTTTCTGTTCTAACATTGTGTTGTTGGTATGTGAGTGCCATATGTTTAATTATTTTCTAAACTTTGCATATAAGATAAAATCTTATTCATATGGTTCACACTAAAAATGTTTTAAATTGCACAGAATTTGAAATAAAGTTATAGATAATAAGTGTTAGTTAATAATTTGTTATTTACTCTTATTAAATACTCTTGGTGTAATGTAGATCATCTACTAGGAATCCCTGTAATTAGAACCCTGGTTTTTAAAAGATTGGTGTGAGAGATAAAAGAGGGTTTAAAGCACTTGTCTTGCATGCAACTGACTTTGGTTCAGGCCCAGGCACTATATACTGACCCCCAAGCATCACCAAGAGTGTTCCCTGAGCATCTCTGGACATGGATCCCACAAAACCATACAGCTGTCACCGAGGAATTTCCTATTTTGCATAGAGATGTTCATATGTATTATAAGAAAGCATAATGCACTTTGATAAAATACTTGTGCATGTAGAAAAAAACAGCTATCACCCTTTATAACAGATAGCTGTATACATTCAAAGTTAAAGAGGCTCAAAGCACAGAAAAGTAAGTTTTAAATCACAATTTTTATTGGAGATAATCCCAGTGACTCAGTGATTTTAGCTATTGGAGTTATAAGACTTATGAGCGGGAGACACCAACAATTATTATGAGTCCAAAATTCTCCTTATTTTTGTGTTGGGAGGATCCTCCCAGGATGGGAGAAGCATGCTGAAAGTAGACTATAGACCAAACATGATTGCCACTCAATGCCTCTTTTGCAAACCACAACACCCAAAAGGAGAGAGAGAACAAAAGGGAATGCCCTGCCACAGAGGCAGGGTGGGATGGGGGGAATGGGGGGTGGGAGGGATACTGAGACCCGTGGTGGTAGAAAATGGGCACTAGTGGAGGTACTTGATCATTGTATAACTGAAACCCAAGCACAAAAAATTGTAAGTCTACAACTGTACCTCATGGTTTTTCACTAATAAAAATTGAAAAAAAAAAAAAAAAGGGAATGCCCTGCCACAGAGACGGGGGGGGGGGGGGGGGGTGAGGGGGGGGGAGTGGGATACTGGGATTCGTGGTGGTGGAAAATGGGCACTGGTGGAGGGATGGGTACTTGATTATTGTATAATTGAAACCCAAGCACAAAAATTTGTAAGTCTACAACTGTACCTCATGCTGTACCTCATGGTGTTTCACTAAAAAAAAAAAATAATAAAGGTAGCAGAATTACCAAAAAAAAAAAAATTCTCCCTATTTCATAAAAGCAACAAATGTTTCCCTATCAGAAGCAAACAAACGAAACCTTCCCAGTGTTAGTGTAGTTACTGTTATTTTTAAATTGAGTGTCGCTGTTGTTATTTATTTATTTATTTTAATTAGTGGAACACCATGAGGCACAGTTGTAGACTTACCAATTACCAATTTTTGTGCTTGGGTTTCAGTTATACAATGATCGAGTACCCATCCCTCCACCAGTGCCCATTTTCCACCACCACGGATCCCAGTGTCCCTCCCACCACCCCCACCCCATCCTCCTACCCCACCCCACCCTGCCTCTGTGGTAGGGCATTCCCTTTTGTTCTCTCTTTCCTTTAGGGTGTTGTAATTTGCAATAGAGTCATTGAGTGGCCATTGTGTTCGATCTATAGTCTGCATTTGGCACACATCTCCCAACCTGAATGGGTCCTCCAAACACCCTTTACTTGCTGTTGCCTTCTCTATCTGAGCTGCCTTTTCCCCCAGTTATTTGAGGCTGGCTTCCAAGTCAAGGCACTTCTTGAGTTGGGGGTCACCCACATCTCTGTTTCTTAACTTGAATATGTCCTCAGCGCTGTTTCCGCTGGAGAAGCACAGGTTCCTCTGAGCTGTTTTCTTCCTTTTTCTCTCATATTTTCCAAATGAACTATTTTACATCACTGTTGGTCTCCTTTCTTTTCTCCTAGAATGGACAAAGGGGTATCTGGACAGAGGTTAGGAATAACTTTCCTTACCTGCTGAGAGCAAATTCCTTGCTCCAGCCTGAGGCCACAGCCTTAATAAGACTGATAGGACCAAGCTCCAGCCCATATAAATGCCGGAGGTTAACTTCATTAGTACCAAGCCTTTTGAGGAACTTTATTTAGTCACTGAGGTGGATGAAGACAGAAGGTGACAGCATCCTCTTCTCAAGGCTCTTAGTACCTCCCTCTCCAGTTTCATATTAATCTCCTGCAACAGTCTGGCATCTTTGCCTTTTTCTCCCACTCTCAAACAGGGTAGGAAATTGAACAAAGGTTTTAAATCCTGTGTTACTTCTCCCAAACTGAGGGCCCCAGGGCACCTGAGACAGGAAGTTATAAAAGGAGCTACTGCAGAATCATTTGGAGAAACCTGCCTTGCTACCTTCACAGGTAGTCCTGGTTTCTCCCACTTAAGCATTTATGTCCCCTCGACCTAAAGAAATAAACTGGTTTTTCTTAAGCCCAGGCCTGTCACCTAATTCTGTGTCACAGAGCAAGAATATACCAGATGTGGGAAATTTTTAT